CCTCCCCCCCTTTATACATAGGGACATTTAGTCCATCTCTCTTTTTTTTGTACACTGCCATTGGATACATTTGGCATTACTAATATTCACTTTTATTTTTAATCTATATGTATTTCAATAAAGGTTATATACCCTATTATATGTGACTTTTAACATTAGGAGGTATTCTTTGAATGGTTAGGGTAGTTCTCCCCCATTTGGGGATCAGACCTCCCTCTCCATTCTTTCCTGTCGTTTTCCTTAGTGATAATATTCTTTAGGTTTTTCACTGAATCCAATAATGTGTTAATACATTCTTGTTTCCCTTTCTCTATATAATGTGGGAAAGAACGATACACAATGATGCATTCCCTTATGTTCAACATGTATGTATTGAGGTTAAAGGATTTGTTTAATAAGTGTGATTCCAATGTATCGGCATCCATTCTGCGGAGGAAATTTCTTATTTTCTTTAACCCCTTCAATACACAAATCAAGTATAAACATTTTTATTTTCATGAAACAAAACAAAGCAGGTTGAGCCTAATAGACAGAATACTTATATTTAATCATTTGAGTTCTGAGAAAGACCAAATGTTATAAACCAGGATTAAACACACATAAACACTTAAAAGGTATTACATTATCTATAAAAATTTCATGGTATAGAAATTAAACACAATCACAGTTTTCAAAAATTTAAATTTATTTTTTTATAAATAATTAAACGTGTACACATAAAATACACAAAAGACGATAAGAAAGACACAGTGAAGAGTTATGATGTTGATGGGGAAAAGAAGATGGGGAAAAGTAAGGGAAAAAAAGTAATGTAAAAAGACATAATTACACATAAGAGTTATAAATTCACACTAATAATAATAAATTACTTATACTTAATTTAAAATAAGTACTCTATATAGAGAAAGTTGTTCACACTGATGTATAATAATTTTCCCTAGTCTTTTATATCTAGAACCCTTGAAGAGCCCTGAAATGGGGTAATTGTAATGAATATGATTAATAGTTAAATTATAACCATGGCATTATTCAAATTTGGCGAGATATCTGATCTACCCTCTTTCTTTCCTTTTTTTCCTTCTCTCTTTTCCTTTCTCTCCCCCAATGGTTAAATAATAGATTATATCTCCCGTACTATTCGTACGAAACGTAAAAAAAAAAAATATATATATATATAAAGAGGAGAATGAATCTCTCCGCGCAGGGAAATTAAGTTTTTTTTGTGAAAAGCCACTTTTATGTGTTGAATGTTTATTATTTCTGTAATAGTTGTTATGTAATATGTTCTTGTCATGGAGACCCAAAACATAAAATTCTTTTAAAAGATTTTACATGATAAAAGAAGTCTATGTGTCACGATTCTGGGAACCCAACACGCTAACACACACACACACACACACAGAAAAGGTGCAGTACCGGACCTTAGAGTGGCCGGGCTAAGCACACACAGAATAGTCAGGAGACAAGCCGAGTAAGGGAACCAGAAGACAGAATAACGTGAAACAAGCCGAGGTCAAAGGGTAGGAGAAAGTCACAGAGTCAGATAAACAAGCCAGAGAGTACGTAACCAGAACCACAAGTTAAGTAGCAATACTAGCAAGCAAAGACCACAACAGGGCAGGGAGGAACAGGAAAGGTAAGTATTTAAACCATAAGGTTAATTCTGATTGGATAATTTCCAATCAGAATTAACAATCACACGTGGGATATATCTAAACCTCCCACTGTGATTGAGGCACTGTGCCTTTAACGCTGGGTCAGGTGACTGACCCCGGCGTGTAATATATTGGGTGGCCTCCCAGCGTGCAGCATCATGCATGCTGCCGCTGGGGGACGATGAAGAAAACGCTGGCGGCATCCGAGGCTGGAAGGATGCCGCTCGCCGAGCCCACGAGGCGGAGGAGACCGTGGACGGCTGGAGGGTGAGTACCATGAGCGGAGTGCAGCCTCCCCTCGCAGCAGCCTGCGGGATCCCGACACTATGACACTTAATATTCAGGGCATTAACTTTCCACAAAAGAGACTATCACTGACCGATTGGTTGAGGAAAAATAAAATTGATATATGTTGTTTACAGGAAACACACTGTTAGGATATGGAAGCCACAAGATTAAGTAATAAATATTTTCCCATTCTTGAACACTCATCTCTACAAAAAGTAAAAAAGAGAGGTGTTGCCATAATGGTCTCAAATACAGTGAAATATGAATAGATATATAAATTAGCAGATAAGTGTAGATACCTTTTTTTAATATGAAAGTTAAATGATAAGAAGTACTCCTTGCTGAAAATATACTTCCCTACAAAGAAACAGATGCATTTTTTAAATGGGATTTTAGTTTAAGTAAATGATTTGATACAGGGGTCCATCTTATGTATGGGAGATTTTAACCGTGTTGCAGATCCCACCATAGACAGAAGGATGCAAAAAAGCAAAACGTTAGATCCAGCATCTAAAAACTTATCAAAGGCTTTTCAAGAGACTCTAGCAAAATTTAAACTGAATATAGGAGAATTCATGTACTACATACTCATAGTTTTCCTTTCTCTTATTTTAAAGTAAGCTGTGCTATACTTTCTATTTAAGTATGTATATGCACTTATGTATTTATCTATGGAAGGTGCATTGTCTCTGAAAAGATTTACATTTGCATTTCCATTAGAAAAGAATAAGAATTAATATGCTACAAAGTATGTCTAATTTCCATCTCTTTATTCTTTTAGTTCAATTATCACTATTTGTACTTATGTGAATGTATCCTATATGCTCATACGCAGCCATATGAAGGGTGGAACGCATTTGTGTTCCACCAAGAGACTTCTCTTATATTCAGAATGCCCGTCAACAATTGGAACGCAAGGTGCGTTCCACTCATGCTGATTTCATGATCGGACGTGACACACGTGGCTAAGCATGATGAGAGGAACCCGGAAGTACACACGGATAGACAGGTGGAACTCATGATGCGTTCCACTGGGAAAAAGACAGCGAAATTAAAGAAATACAGATGTAAAAGGAATCCAAGGGCATAGCAACATTATCCATACCAATTGATGAATCCACACCCGGCGAAATGCATTTTGGTATCACATTGGGCATTAATATAGTTTTTATCTTAGAAACATAGAAACATAGAATGTGACGGCAGATAAGAACCATTCGGCCCATCTAGTCTGCCCAATTTGCTAAATACTTTCATTAGTCCCTGGCCTTATCTTATTGTTAGGATAGCCTTATGCCTATCCCACGCATGCTTAAACTCCTGTACTGTGTTAACCTCTACCACTTCAGCTGGAAGGCTATTCCAGGCATCCACTACCCTCTCAGTACAGTATCCTGATATTATTTTTAAACCTTTGTCCCTTCATTTATTTTACCAATTGTTTAAATTAATACATTTTTGAAACCTACCTGATTTCCATTATTAATTTCTGGGAGAAAATTGGAACATCTCCAGATTTCCAGATTACCAGCAGGGGAATTTGAATCTCTCAAAAGAGATCCTAAGGATATCCACACCAGAGCCAGGTTCAGTATATGGCCCTTGTGAGTGTGTTTCAGTAAAACAGAATTTTTACATATGTTTTAAAAATATTTGCACTATTATCTACCTATCTATCTTTTACAGCATTTATAAATATATTAAGAAGATAGGAAAGTATATTATTTTGCTTCACCTAATTTTTTTGTGTTATATATGATTTAAGGTGTAGGGGATACCGCACAGGTGTTTTGAGCTTGTAACACTACTGTATATACAATTTGTGTTTGATACACAAAATACGCTAAGTATTGAGAAATATTTAAAAGGGCTTAAATTACCAACGCTAAATTCAGAACAAAATTCCAAACTAGAATCTCAATTTAATACTGAAGAGGTTCAAGAAGCAATAGCCAAATTAAAAAATCATAAATCTCCAGGGACAGAAATGTTACAAGCCAAAATAGTGACCATTCCAAAAGAAGATAAAGATAGCACCAGAGTCACAAACTATAGGCCTATATCACTTATTAACTGTGATACAAAAATATATTCTTCAATACTTGCTGAAAGATTGAAAGAAATAATGTCACTTTTGATACATCAAAATCAAGTGGGATTTTTTTTTCAAAATAGATACGCAAGTAATAACACCAGGAAAATTATAGATATATTGAGTTATATTGGATCTAAAGGTATCCCCACGCTGGCCCTGTCTTTGGACGCTGATATGCCTTTGACAGGATCGCTGGGATTTTTTACAAGAAGTATTAAAAATATTTAATTTTGGAAACTCAATAAGGGATGCAATATTAGCTATATACACTTCACCAACCGCAATAATTTCAGGTCAAGGATTCTTAACAGCTAGTTTTAATATAAATAATGGCACTCGGCAAGGCTGTCCACTAGCTCCAATGCTATATATCTTATTCTTAGAGCCTCTACTTCAAAAGATAAGACAAGAAGGTAATATAAAAGGAGTGAAAATGGGGGGGCGGGGCCTGACTGCAGAGCTGAGAGGACGCTTGCCTCCATAGCTCCGGCTCAAGGGGACACATAAAGCGACGAAAAACACGTCAAATAACGAAAATTGGCAAACAAAGGCCACCCAGCAACAGGGGATATCGGGGAGCACACACTGATACTGCCCAAGCGACATTTCAAGCGACACGCACCCAACACCCTGATGCGGCCTACCAGCATGGTGAGTGCGGGAGAGACGGCCGCTCTCCTGCCACCAAGAATGCCTGCAAGCACAATCAAGAACCCACGCCTCCCCCCCTATGGCCCGGCGGGGGTTATCCCGGGCCGCTGCCACAAGCATCCCTGGATAAGCAGCGCCCAAACGAGCCTCACGCAAAGCCAGCTGGCAAATCCTGTGGCCCACAAAATGGCAGACGACCGGAGCACCGCGGCCTTGCAGCATGCCAACACAGAAACGGAGGCTAGACTCGACTACATATTTGGCCTTTTTTGGGAGAAGCTAGAAGCGCTTATGGGGCCTCAGGAACTGAGGGAGCAGCCTGTCTGGGCACAACAGAGCCTGACTCAGAGGTTCAGAAAGAGGGAAGTGGAAAACCCCCAAAACCCCACTCCAAACACAGGCAAGCGTTGGCACAGGGCCACCCTGAAAACCATAGCTCAACCTACAATGAAGCCTGCACTGAGGCCTACACTGAGGCCTGCACCGAGGCCTATACTGATGCCTGCACCGAGGCCTACACTGATGCCTGCACCGAGGCCTACACTGATGCCTGCACCGAGGCCTACACTGAGGCCTGCACCGAGGCCTACACAGAGGCCTGCACCGAGGCCTACACAGAGGCCTGCACCGAGGCCTACACAGAGGCCTGCAACAACGCCTACATTGAGGCCCACACCAAGGAAAACATGTAAGAGCCATCCCGAGAAGAAACAAAGAGGGGGAATGCAGAAAGCATCACGACTTCAAAAAAGCCGCCACGCAACCCACAAACGCTTAACTGAATGCCAATCCATGCGAAGACGTGGCAAGTGCAGCCCACACCATCCGGCGGGGTGTGAAACCCCGTCCACGAGCAGATCCCGAGCCACTGACCGTGTCACCGACAGCTCTCAGATGCGGGAGAACCTGGGTCTGGACTGTACTAGAGACTGTAGCTGGTGGGGTAGCTATGCGGGGACACTGTCATTTAACACACCACCACAAAGGCAGCATGGGTTAGTGGGCATAGGCTGACCACCCCACTTGAGAGCAGGATTGGGCTACTACTCCCTTTAGGTCCCAGGTCTCATACCGGGCAATGTAGTGTACCCTGAACCAACATTCACCCACCTTATACTTCTAAATATTGACTACAAGTCTGCTTAACAACCTAAGTTGTCTCTCTCTGAGATTTAATTTTTTCTTTTTTCTTTTTGTCTTTTCTTCCATTTTCTCCACACAGTTGGCACCGGTGGCAACATAACCTGTGATACTTTAGCATGATCTATATAGCCACCTCTCCACCTACCATAGAGCCTAGAAAGATTTGCATACTCTGAGAACAGACATTACCGTTTAGCTCTAGGAAAGTTTCACTAAGCCTGTAACTAATCTTATCATTGCACCTTTTTACTCGTGTTTAACTTAGCATAATTCTCATGTCCTGTTTACCAACCTGATTCAGCTATCTAGGTGTACTATAACTGCCGGAATCAACATGTCTTGCTTGTAGAAATCTTAATGTTCTTCATATATGAGTATATAAATTGTCTCTCCACTACCATTTTGAGAGCTGCGGTGTGAAATAGACCCCAGTGGTAACAAGCTTTTATGTCTCATCTATACCATGCCTTGTTTAAGCTTCACTAGCATCCAACATGTCTAGCTTTTAAAATTGTCAGCAATACTGCTCCTTTTATTGCCCCAACACGTTGCATGCTCTTGCTTTGTCTTCCGGTAATTGCATAGCTAGCCATGGTGAACCAGCTTGACGTATACCTAACTGTTTTCTTCTTTTACCTTAAAAAATGTATGCAAACCTAACTAGCCACACACCTGTTATAACTATGTTCATTGAGCCTGCTACAGCTGTTGTGGCGAGACAGGCACTGTTGTAATTTACCGCATACCAAAAATAAAGAATTATAAAAAAAAAAAGGAGTGAAAATAAATAATCTAGAATGTAAACTATCAGCATATGCAGATGACATTATTTTAACAATCACATCTCCTAAAACATCTGTGAAAACTCTGTTAGAAACCTTAAATATATATGGAAATATGTCCAATTATAAATTAAATATATATAAAAAAAACAAGCTGTTACATACAGCATGGATCCTAAACAAGTGGCCTTATTAAAACAAAATACTAATGTATAATGATCCCTAAACAAATAGAAAATCTTGTGGAATCTAACTTTTTATGTCTAAGCATTAACCCTGAAATTAAAGACCTGGAAGGATGCATTTGTTTCTTGGATGGGCAGGGTAAATGTAATCAAATCATATATACTACCCACATGGTCCTATAATTTTAGGATGATTCCATTAAAAGCACCAAGTAAATATATAAAACAATTTCAAATACTTGTGGAAAAGTTCTTATGGGTTAATAAAAGACCGTTGTAACGGCTAGCCCAGTTGGAGAGGGGGTATCAGCCGTTGGAGACGTCCTTCTTCCCGGCAAGCTGCTGTGTAGTAGTGGAGTTGCTTTATCCCGTCTGCTGGATCCAAGTAGAGAGCAGGGCAGAGCTCTTAAAAGAGCTAGTGATTAAGCTGAGCAGGTTCCCTTTCAATAACGAGACAAGGCTACATTTTGAAGGGTCAAGAAGAACTGAGGTTTAATGACAAGTACTCTCCTTTTATGCAGTGCTCCCATGCAAGGGAGACACCCACAGGCAATGATACAGTGACCAATCAAACAATAGTTACAACCCACAATTCCCTCCCCTCTGCTTGGGAGATAATTGAGTTTCTAACTGTATCTACTCAATTATCTCCAAGCTAAAAAATTATAACTTTCTTATTTTACATGGTACATGAATAAAATATATATTTTTATGAACAGTACAACTTGGGGAACAATATATTCAAAATTTGTGCAAACCATTTGGTGATTCGGGAGATAGTAAAAAGTCCCTTGAACCGATCGCACGCCTGTGAGTATGCCCAAAATCAGTTCCACAGATTCAGGCTGTGCGGTCGGTCTATCTTTCGTTCAGCGAAAATCCCTATTTGCACGAACGGATTCATCCGGGCTTAGACTCATTGAATACATCTAGTTCTGGAGTTTATTTTACCGAAAGAGCGCTCCGTTCGGACAGATTTAGCTGAACGCACGGAGGATGGAAGTTTCAGCGGTGTTCGCATAAAAGTCTAGCCGAAATGCTTTCCATGCGGTCGACGACCACACACCGCTGAGTGCATTCGACTATCCAAAATGGCCGCCGCCACGTGTTCGTGCAAACGAATGCTGACCACCCAGTCTATCAATTAAACCCATGGAGGGTTCGTGGTTTTCACAGTATTCTTATAGTCTGGGAGGTAAATGAGTGGCACACTTCAGTTCTGGGTGGCCGGCCGTTCGGTACAAAATTCGGTATTCGAACGTTCTTATATTGTATCTCCATTACACGAAAGCCATTATACGAACAGTCTTTGTCTTTTAAGTGTGGGATAAAGTGAGGAAGGGCAAGAAAATGGTGAAGGTTCCCAGGCACATTGTAGGGATATGTTACAACTGTGTATATCTAAATATCATCTATATCAAAAGAAAACTCAGGGCGGTGTGAATTTTCCAGATATTTTCAGATATCAATTAGCAAATAGTCTGACCCAGGTTCATAAAATACTAATGACATCTCAAAAAAATCAAGATATGTTCACAAACAGTACTTAACGAAAGTTGATAATCTGGAAACTTTATTATGGTGTAAACAATCAGAATTAAATAAAATTTTGCTGAAAGCTGATTGTATAGTCTTGACTATTATCATGGGAGAAGGGTCTCAACTTAAGAAAAAATTGTGAATATTAAATAAATGTGCAATTACCACCCCATTAGAATCCCTGGAATATAACATGGTGGATTTCAAACTCCCACTAAGTCCCCCCCCAAAAATGTAAGAATTCAAGACTTATACTCTTTAAAAAAAAAAAAAAAAATCTCAAATTCAGCTTCAATGGCATTATAGATGTACAGTGAAAGAGCATTTTTTATTAATTAGGATTAAATATTGTCTTAGTTCTAATTTAATTGTTATTTCAGGAAAAAAATTAAAAGATTAATTTGATAGGTTACTGTGTAATAACTTTAACTTTAAAAATTGTGAGAGCATGGTACGATTTACTGGAATTTAGCCTAACTACAATAAAAGTTAAAGCTCTAGAATCATGGGGAAATTAATTTTATAACATGACAGGAGGCTTCGTATTTGCTTAAGTCTCTCTTTACTAGAACTCCACAGCAGCACAGAAAAAAACAACCAATCAGAGAAAAGTTAAGTACTATAAAACTCCGCTTCCCATACATCATTTCCTCTTTCTTTGCTGCTGCGCATCAGTACAGGTCAGAGTACCACTGCCTCCTGCTAATATTAGTCGGTGTCTTTGGGATTGATTTGTTTATTTGCAGTAATTTAGATTTATCTGTCTGGGAACTTAATAAACATTTTCTGTAGCTTTATTCCTACACACATAGCATGCCTCACTGTAAGGTGTTCATGTCATTTCATGGCAGATACCTCAATCATCTGCCTGCATTCTTATCTGATAGCCATCTTTGTAATTGCTTTGTCAGCTAGCAATGCCATATTTCTTATATATGTTCGTGCATGGATTCGGAGGGGTCTTGGTAGGCTTTTTCCGCCCTTACTGTACCCGTGTTTTCTACCCCCTCTGCTTTCCCCTCAGATACTCTATTTTCCTTTTTCTGTGTTCCTTTTGCCCCTTTATGGCAGGCTGTATTTGTGCCGCCCGGGGTCGGCTGAAGGCTGACAGTCTCATCCCCTCCGACCTCCCGGGCTCCGGGACCGCGGAGTCCCCTCTGTGTGGTGACATTCTGTCATCAAACTAATATGGTGGGGTCATGTGACCAAGCTACAGTGGGATAAGCTTTACCCTTTGAAATGGTAATTGTGTAATACAATACCTTTACAAGTCAGGAGAGAGATAACCACTCCCACCTATCTCCATTCCTCTCTGTTCCTTCTTGGCTGTGCTACAGAGCAGATGTGCAGACGCCATGTGCTATCTTGGTGAACCATGTTACACTCTGTTGCTTCCTTTTCTTCCTTGGTGGATGTGATGTTGAACTTGCAGCAGTGAGCCATTACTAGATGTGAAGGCCTAACCGTGGGTGAGATCAAGCGTGTGGGGAAGGGGTTACTATATAGATAGATAGATTTAAAAAGGGTTGTTGCTCCGTGGGTCTGGGCTGTGTGTTTGTGATACATTTATAGTATTGTGTTGTTGCCTTTTAATAAATACCTTTTAATGTAGACGAACCTTGTGTAATATATATATTAATTTGGTGATACACCACACTCTGGCGGTCTCGTGCTTTTCCTGCCGATCCCTGGGGTACTCGTGATCGAGCACGAGTACCCGACGGCTGGATCTTCTTCCTCACTTGGCCGCGTATCGCGGCTGTCTCCGGTTTCGGACCGCGTGTGTCCGACCGGGTGTCCCCGGCTGTGCACGCCTCTATGGAGACCTGCTTACGGGTTTCTTACCCTGATGGAAGTCAGGCTACTACCTGACTTTGTGTTACTATTCTGCATTAATAGGCATTCATACTTTATTTGTGCCTACAGTAAGTAAAACTTAGTAGACACTCAACAGTACTTGTTGGTAACTAAAAATATGCATATATCCTCTTACTTGGCTGTCATAAGTTTACAGCTTAGTCTTTCAATTTTCTTATTGAGTGTTTACATTTATCCTGTACTTGCTTTTCCTTTGTGTTTAAAGCAAGCAGTTACTTACGTCACCATTTTTTACATTAAAACATACTACATACTGTTGGGACAGTTTTCATGTGACCATATCAGGCGGTTTTATATTTTCCTTGACCCTGCATTGGATTTTACCTAAAGCAGTCACCATAGCAACCATTCTCAAGAAGCTAGATTGGGATGCAGTTTCGGTACTATTTAATCTGTACTGCACTGGGTTTTTTACAACATGGATACGCCAGTGACCAGTGCCTGCAGGGCGTTTAGGGGACTGCCAGAATGCCTATTTCAGTGCTCTTAGTGCACTTTCACACTATAATGAAGGTTTAGTATTTCAGGGGGCTGTGCACCATATTACCCAGAAGATTCTATTTATAGATATATATTATAT